ATACAAAAAACTTGGAGTAGCCACCTGTGTCTTATCTGATCACCATGGAGTAAAGATAGAATTTAACAACAATACTACCCCCAGAAAGCCTACGAACTCATGGAAACTGAACAGTCAACTACTACTAAACCACCCCTGGGTCAAGCAAGAAATAAAGAAATTAAAATCTTTCTTGAATTCAACGAAAATGAAGACACAACATACCCAAACCTATGGGACACTATGAAAGCAGTGTTAAAAGGAAAATTCATAGCACTAAGTGCCCACATAAAGGAAACGGAGAAAGCTCACATTAGAGACTTAACAGCACATCCAAAAGCTCTAGAAAAAAAGGAAGCAGACTCACCCAGGAGGAGTAGAAGACTGGAAATAATCAAACTGAAGGCTGAAATCAGCAAAATAGAAGCAGAGAAAACAAAACAAAGAATCAATTAAACAAAGAGTTGGTTCTTTGAGAAAATCAACAAGATTGACAAACCCTTATACAAACTAATCAAAATACAGAGAGAGAACATCCAAATTTAAAAAAAATCAGAAATGAAAAGGGGGACATGACAACAGACACTGAGGAAATTCAGAGAATCAATAGGTCTTAATACAAAAGACTGTACTCTACAAAATTGGAAAATGTAAAAGAAATGGACAATTTTTTGATAGATACCATACACCAAAATTAAATCAAGACAAGGTGAGCAATTTAAATAGACCTACTATTCGCAAAGAAATAGAAGCTGTCATCAAAAACCTCCCAACCAAAAGAAGCCCAGGGCCAGATGGTTTTAGTGCAGAATTCTACCAGAACTTTCAAAAAGAGCTGATACCTATACTCCTCAATGTGTTCCGCATAATAGAAACAGAAGGCTCACTGACAAACTCTTTTTATGAAGCTACAGTTACCCTGATACCAAAACCGCAAAAAAACTCAACCAAAAAAAATAATTACAGACCCATGTCGCTCATGGACATGGATGCAAAAATTTTCAATATTGTCCTGGCAAACTGAATCGAGGAACACATCAAAAAAATCAGCCATTATAATCAGCCATTGAAATCTCTGGGTTTCATCCCAGAGATGCAGGGCTGGTTCAACATACAAAAATCTATCAATGTAATCCATCATATAAATAAACTGAAAGAAAAAAAACCATATGATAATTTCATTAGATGACGAAAAAGCATTTGACAAAATTCAATACCCGTTTATGATAAAGGTATTGGAGAGATTAGATATACAAGGATCCTTTCTAAATATAATAAAAGTAATATACAGCAAACCAAGAGCTAACATCAAATTAATTGGAGAGAAACTCAAAGAGATTCCACTAAAACCAGGAACAAGACAAGGCTGCCCACTCTCTCCATATCTCTTCAACATACTGCTAGAAGTTCTAGCAATAGCAATAAGACAACATAAGGAGATCAAGGGATTCGAATTGGAAAGGAAGAAGTCAAACTTTCGTTATTTGCAGATGATATGATAGTGTACATAAGTGACCCCAAAAGCTCTACCAGAGAATTCCTACAGCTGATAAATACCTTCAGTGATGTGGCATAATAGAAGATCAACTCAAAAAAATCAGTAGCCCTCCTATACACAAAGGATAAAGAAGCTGAGAGAAAAATCAGAGAAATATCACATTTCACAAGAACCACAAATAATATAAAGTATCTTGAGGTAACATAAACCAAGGCAGTGAAAGTCCAATTTGACAAGAACTTTAAGTCTTTGAAGAAAGAAATTGAAGAGGATACCAGAAAATGGAAATATCTCCCATGTTCTTGGATAGGTAGGATCAACATAGTAAAAATGGCAAACCTCCCAAAGGCAATCTATAGATTCAATGCAATTCTCACCAAAATCCCAACAAAATCCTTCACAGACCTTGAGAGAACAATAATCAACTTTATATGGAAAAACAAAAAAAACTCAGGACAGCCAAAACAGTCTCGTACAATAAAGGAACTTCCAGAGGCATTACCATCCCTGACACCAAACTCTATTATAGAGCTACAGTAATGAAAATAGCTTGGTATTGGCATAAAAACAGAGACTTTGACCAAGGGAATCGAATTGAAGAACTGGATGTTAATCCTCACACCTATGAACACCTGATTTTTGACAAAAGAGCTAAAATTATACAATGGAAGAAGGAAAACATCTTCAACAAATGGTGCTGGTATAACCGGATGTCAGCCTGTAGAAGAATGAAAATAGATCCATATCTATCACCATGCACAAAACTCAAGTCCAAATGGATTAAAGACCTCAATATAAATCCAACCACACTGAACCTGTTAGAAGAGAAAATGGGAAGTAGCCTGCAATACATGGGCACAGGAGACGACTTCCTATGTATAACCCCAGTAGCACAGACAATAAGAACAACAGTGAATAAAGGGGACCTCCTGAAACTGAGAAGCTTCTGTAAAGCTAAGGACACAGTCATTAAGACAAAAAGGTAACCTACTGAATGGGAGAAGATCTTCACCAACCCTACATCAGACAAAGGTCTGAATTTCAAACTATATAAAGAACTCAAGAAAGTAGATATTAAAATTCTAAATAACCCAATTAAAAAATGTGGTACTGAACAGAGAATTCTCAACAGAAGAAATTCAAATGGCCAAAAGATACTTAAGGACATGTTCAACTTTCTTAGCTATAGGGAAATGCAAATCAAAACAACTTTGAGATACCATCTTACACCTGTCAGAATGGCTAAAATCAAAAACACAATGATAGCCTATGCTGGAGAGGATGTGGAGTGAGGGAAACACTCATCCATTGCTGGTGGGAATGCAAATTTGTGCAACCACTTTGGAAATCAGTGTGGCAGTTTCTCAGAAAATTGGGAGTCAACCTACCTCAGGATCCAGCAATACCACTCTTGGGAATATACCCAAGAGATGTCCAATCATACTACAAAAGCATTTGCTCAACTATGTTCATAGCAGCATTATTTGTAATGGCCAGAACCTGGAAACAACCTAGATGCCCCTTAATGGAAGAATGGATAAAGAAAGTGTGGCACACCTACACATTAGAGTACTACTCAGCGGTAAAAAATGATGACATCTTGAATTTTGTGTGTAAATGGATAGAAATAGAAAACACTATCCTGAGTGAGATAACCAAGACCACAAAATACGAATATGGTATGTACTCACTCATAGTGTATTCTAGCCATATACAAAAGACATTGATCCTATAGTTCGCCATAGTAGAGAAGCTAAGTAATAAAGTGAACCCCCCCAAAAAAAACATATATACATCTGGAAATTAGAAACAAACAAGATCGCCAGGCAAAAGTTGGGAGCATGATGGCAGGGGTGGGTAGAGGAAAGGGGAGAGGGTGAGAGACAAGGGAGAAGGGGAGGGTTGGGGAGAGCTTGGGGGAGTGGGATGGTTGAGATGGAGGAAGGACAGATATGGGAGCAGGGAAGGAGATACCTTAATTGACGGAGCCATTTTGGGGTTGGCAAGAGGTTTGACTCTGAAGGGGTTTTCAGAAGTCCAGGGCAATGACTCCAGCTAGGACCCTAAGCAGTGGAGGAGGGATGCCTGAATTGGCCTTGTCCTGAGTCAGACTGATGACTATCTTGAATATCACCATAGAACCTTCATCCAGTGATGGATCAAACAGAGACAGAGACCTACATAGGTGTACTGGACTGAGCTCCCAAGGTCTGGTTAAAGAGCAGAATGAGGGAGAGTATGAGCAAGGAAGTCTTGACCACGAGGGGTTCCCCAAATGAGACAGTGTGTCTAAACTAATGGGAGCTCACCAACTCCAGCTGGACAGGTAATGAACGAGCATGGGATCAAACTGGTCCCTCTGAATGTGGTTGACAGTTGGGGCAGATTGAGGGGTCAATTACAACGGCACTGGGATTTGTCTCTACTGCATGTAATGACCTTTTGGGATCCTATTCTATTTGGATGCATACCTTGCTCAGTCTAGATTTAGTGGGGAGGGCCTTGGAGTTCCCGCAGGGCAGGATGCCTTGTCCTCTCTTAGGACTGGAGGGGGTGGGGATAGTGGGTGGGGGAGCGGGAGGGAAATGGGAGGAGGGGAGGAAGTGAAAATTTTAATTGGTATTATTTTTAAAGTAAAAAAAGAAAGAAAGAAAGAAAGAAAGAAAGAAAGAAAGAAAGAAAGAAAGAGAGAAAGAAAGAAAGTGGCTGAGACAAAATAAAGCACTAGGGATGCCAGCATGGCATGTCCTGCCATAGCTCACCACTCCACCACAGTGGTACAGCTACATTCCAGGGGTGCACTGCCAGGAGCCTCTGAGAAGAGAGACAGGCAAGTTTCAGCAGCAGAAGAGGAGACCTTTGGATTCAGCATCGACACGTTAAGTCTGTCTTAACTCCGATAAACAGTATATGCCCTGCACTGCTTCTATGGAGAACAATAGGGTCATGAATGCTGGACACGGGATTTTTTTTAAAAAGGAAGTTTTAAAGGTTTTTTTTTTAATATTTATTTTCAATTACATGTCTGTGTCTCTGTGTGGGTATGTGTACATGAATGTAGGTGCCAACAGAAGCCAGACGATACTCTAGATTTGGAACTACAGGTGGGCGTGAGCCACCTCATATAGGCCCTCTGCAAGAGTGATTCACACTCCTGGCCACTGATCCATCTCCCCATTCCATTAAAAATATTTTTTAAAGCAACTGTGAGCTAAGCATACTGGCATGTGCCTGTGATATCACATTGCTTGTGGGCTGAGGCAGGCTGACCATCCTGAGGTTAGTCTGTGCTATGTAGTGAGTCTAAAACAAAGAAATTAAAAGAAGTTCAGAAGATAGAGAGGAACAGAGAGGGCAAGGTCATTCATTGTCGCCTTGCCTACACAAACACAGTGTCTTTCAGAGGTTGCTCTGATCATTACATGTGATGAAAAATTAAATGTGACCACTAAATGTGATGGCCCTCACAAAATAAATGACAAGTGCCTTTCATCCCGTTGCAGCTGTGAGAATCTCTTCTTACCGACTTGAATTGCCATCTATGATCTTCTTGGGATCATAGTCCTCTCCCAGCCAACAAGAATGATATTGAACAATGTTGACATGATTGAGCGTTGCCAGCGCTTTTACTTCACGCACAGCTTTCCTAGTTAAAAGCACCCAGAAAACAAATGTGTTATTGCCTATCATTGATAATTACGGAACTTCTCAGGTAAGCAGATGCAACGTACATTGGATAGTCACCATGGCTCCCACACTAAGTTTTAGCAGGAGAGCCAGAACTCAAGAGGGAACAGAAGGGATTGAGTGCATAGAACCACGGTTGTTCTCATTCTCAACATAAAAGAAAGGACAGTGGCTTAAAGGACAGACATCTAAAATTTAAACATCATTTGTATCTTATCTTAAGTGTCTGTAACACAATTTTCAGTAGCTACATCATATCTGATATTTTGTGTAGATGGGTCTCAAAATCTTGAAATTTTACAAGTGAATCTCATTTGGGCAACAAAGACAGGTAACCCAGGCAGCAAGCAGAACCCAATTTAGAACTTTCAATGTATGATAAAAATACAGGGCTTGGGCTCAAGAGCTAAGACATTGTAATAGTTTCTTGAAATTACCCTGTATTGAATGGTTTTATGTCAGCTTGACACAAGCTAAAGACATCAGAGAGCAGAGAATCTCAAAACGAGAAAAACTGAGAAAATCACCTTAAACTAAATAAGTCAACAGTTTCAGGGTCCAGGACTGTCTCAACACGAGGCAATAATATATATATATATATATATATATATATATTTGGTTTTTCAAGACAGGGTTTCTCTGTAGCTTTTGGATCCTGTCCTGGAACTAGCTCCTGTAGACCAGGCTGTCCTTGAACTCACAGAGATCCTCCTGCCTCTGCCTCCTGAGTGCTGGGATTAAAGGCGTGCACCACCACTGCCCGGCTAGAGGCAATCATATTTTTAAACTGAAAGAAATACCCACTGTAAGGTAAGGCCATTTCAGACTAAGTCAAACTCCGGTAGCCATAATGAAAAGGTAAAGAGGACATAAAACAAGTAAGTAAGTAATGAAGGACAGATATACAAAGAATAGTGAAGGTCAACACACTGTGTTCACAAAAACCAGACATTTACTTACTCTGTGTTATATTTAACACGCTTTATAGCATAAGTCTTCCCATCAATTTTGTGTTTTGCTTTGAAAACTTGACCAAATCCACCTGAGCCAATTTCTTCTATGTCTTCAAAATCCTTCTGAAACCTAGTTAAGATTGATATTGCTGTCATTGCTAAGGTTTAGTTAGATGAAAATGATTCTTTCTTTCTTGTCTTTAATAACATTTGATAGAGCTCTTGAGTCACAAAACAATGTCTTCTTCCTTCTCCTTCTCTCCTCTTTTGATGGAGGATCAATAAAACAGATCACCCCCTCTGGCTGTACATAGGACACACTGAAGTATCCTTTTCACTGAGTACAAAGAATATGAGAAATCCCCCCTACCCCCAAGTATTAAATCTAGAAAGAATCACTCAGTTGTGTGCCACAGGTACCAGAGGGAAAGCAGAAGCCCTGAGCCTTCCTTGGACTAGAACAACCTGCTTCTTCCCCTCCTTAAGCCCCACATCCAATCATTAAGCCCTGCTCCTCCTTCTAGCCTGTATCACTACCATCTGCCCACTCTTCTCCACTTGCAGCATCCTCACCGAGGGTCAGCCCTCGGGCTCCAGCAGTGGTGACCTGCTGACTGATACCCCGCTTCTCCTGCCCTCCTTTAGCTATGAAAGCTCGGTCGGATCAGTTCTCTCTGTCATCTATACCTCCTCCAGCTTAGCCTTTGCATTCAGCAAAGAACAGGAAAATCTTAAACAGCCCACAAGGTGCCATGCAGCGCTTTCCTGACTTCTCTTCCAACCTCATCTCATCACGCTGTGTCCTTGTTCATTACACGCCAAGCATGTGCTTTCTCCACAGAAGGCTGACCTCGGGGCTTTGTTTCCATTTTTGTCATACGACTGTTCTTCCTTAACTCTGGTCTGATTTTGTAATTACAATTGTATGTGTAGCATATAAATATGGGAATACAGATCATGTAACTACGAAAACATGTGCGTGCATGCGTGTGTGTGTGTGTGTGTGTGTGTGTGTGTGTGTGTGTGTGTATGCGCGTGTGTAGGCCAGAGATTGATGGCAGCGGTCTTCCTCGGTGACTCTGCACCTTTGTTTTTTATTTTGCTTTGTTTTGTGAGGCAGGGTTCTTCATGTAGTCCTGGCTGTCCTGGAACTCGTTCTGTAAACCAGGTTGGCCTCAAACCCACAGAGATACTCCTGTCCCTGCCTCCTGAGTACTGGAATAAAAGCATGGGCCACCACCTCCATCTTACACTGTATTTTTATTTTTATTAACAAACAGACTTTTTATTTCCTCATTTTTCTCATTTCTACATTCATTTATAGAACAAAACAGCTTCACACAGCCCAACACAATATTCTTGATTTTTCTAATATTTTCTTTTTTAATTGTACAAGGATTCTCTATATAGCCCTGACTGTCCTGGAACTCACTCTGTAGACCAGGTTTCACTCACACTTACAGAAATCCATCTACCTCAGCCTCCTAAGTGTTGGTATTAAAGGCATGCATTCTTGGTTTTTCTTCATATTGAAGCCTAGCCCTAAATCCCAAATCAGCATCATTTTTTTAATTTTAATGATTTTTATTGGGCTCTACATTTTCCCCTGCTCACCTCCTGCCTCTTCCCCTCACCTTCAAGCCTTTCTCAAGGTTCACATGCTGGCAAATTACTCAGAAGACCTTGTCTTTTTTTTACTTCCCATGTAGATTAGATTCATGTATGTTTCACTTAGGGTCCTCATTGTTGTTTAGGTTCTCTGGGATTGTAATTTGTGGGCTAATTTTCTTTGCTTTATGTTTAAAAACTACTTATGAGTGAGTACATGTGATAATTGTCTTTCTGTGTCTGGATTACCTGACTCAAAATGATGTTTTCTAGCTCCATCCATTTGCCTGCAAAATTTAAGGTGTCGTTATTTTTTTCTGCTAAAGAATTTTGCTGGGATTTTGATGGACATTGCATTGAATCTGTAGATTGCTTTTGGTAAGATTGCCATTTTTACTATGTTAATTTTGCCTACCCAAGAGCATGGAAGATCTTTCCACTTTCTGGTGCCTTCTTCAGTTTCTTTCCTCAAAGATTTAAAGTTCTTCTGATACAAGTCTTCCACTTGTTTGGTTGAAGTTACTCCGAGATATTTTATGCTATTTGTGGCTATTGTGAAGGATGATGTTTCTCTGATTTCTTTCTCAGCCCATTTATCATCTGTGTACAGAGGGCTACTGATTTTTTTCAGTTAATCTTGTATCCTGCCACATTACTGAAAGTGTTTATGAGTTGTAGAAGTTCCTTGGTAGATTTTTTGTGGGGGTGCTTATTCAAACTATCATATCATGAGCAAACAGTGAAAATTTGACTTCTTTTTAGATTTGTATCCCCTTGATCTCCTTTTGTTATCTTATTGCTCTAGCTAGGACCTCAAAAACTATATTGAATAGATATGGAGAGAGTGGACAACTTTGTTTTGTTCCTGATTTCAGTGGGATCGCTGGGAGTTTCTCTCCATTTAGTTTGATGTTGGCTGTTGGCTTGCTGTATATTACCTTTAGATATGTTCCTTGTATCCCTGCTCTCTCCAAGACCTTATCATGAAGAGATGTTCGATTTTGGAGAAAGCTTTTTCAGCATCTAATGAGATAATCATGTGGCTTTTATTTTTCAGTCTGTTTATATGGTGGATTTCATTGATAGAGATGTTGAACCATCCCTGCATCTGTGGGATGAAGCTGACTTGATCATGGTGGGTTATCATTCTGATATGTTCCTGGATTCGATTTGCCAGTATTTTATTTAGTATTTTTGCATCAATGTTCATGAGTGAGATTGGTCTGTAATTCTCTTTCTTATTAATGTCTTTCTGTGATTTGGGTATCAGGGTAATTGTAGCCTCATAAAAAGAGTTTGGTCATGTTCCTTCTATTTCTATTGTGTGAAACAATTTGAGGAGTATTGCTATTAGCTCTTTGAAAACCATGTAGAATTCTTATCCTGGTTCTTTTTTTTTTTTTTGGTTGGCAGACTTTTGATGACTGTTTCTACTTGCTTATCTAGTCTTGATTTAATTTTGGTAAGTGATATTTATCCAGAAAGTTGTCCATTTCCTTTAAGTTTTCCAATTTTCTGGAGTACAGGTTTTTGAAATATGACTTGATGATTCTCTCTTTTTCCTCCGCCTCTGTTGTTATGTTCCCTTTTTCATTTCTGATTTTGTTAATTTGGATATTCTCTCTCTGCCTTTTGGTTAGTTTGGATAAAGTTTTGTCTATTTTGTTAATTTTTCTCAAAGAGTCAACTCTTTGTTTCATTGATTCTTTGTATTGTTTTCTTTTTTCTATTTTGTTGATTTCAGTTCTCAATTTGATTATTTCCTGCCATCTAGTTATCATGAGTGAGTTTGCTTTTTGTTCTAAAGTTTTTAAATGTTCTGTTAATTCACTAGTGTGGGATTTTCCCAGCTTCTTTATGTAGGCATTTAGTGCTATGAACTTTCCTCTTAACACTGCTTTCATTGTTTCCCATAAATTTGGGTATGTTATGTGGTCATTTTCATTGAATTTTAGGAAGTCTTTAATTTCTCCCTTTATTGCTTTCTTGACCCATTGATGATTCAGGTGAACATTGTATAATTTCCATGTGTTTGTGGGCTTTCTGGAATTCTAGTTTTAAGCCATGGTAAGATATATATTCCATTTTTTTATTTGTTGAGGTTTGTTTTGTTACTGAGTATGTGGTCAGTTTTTGAGAAAGTTCCATGAGGTGCTGGGAAGAAGGTATATTCTTTTATGTTTGGATGAAATATTCTAATGATGTCTGTTAAGTCCATTTGAATCATAACATCTATTAGTTCCCTTATTTCTCTGTTCATTTTTTGTCTGACTGACCTGTCTAGTGGTGAGAGGAGAGTCTTGATGTCTCCCACTATTAGTGTGTGGGGTTTAACATATGATTTAAACTTTAGAAGTCTTTCTTTTATATATGAGGGTGCCCTTGTATATGGAGTATAGATGTTCAGTATTGAGATTTCCTCTTGATGAATTTTTCCTGTGACTAATATGAAATGTCCTTCTTTGTCTCTTTTGATTGATTTAGTTTGAAGTCTATTTTGTTAGATATTAGGATAGCTACACCAGCTTGTTTCTTAGGTTCATTTGATTGGAAAATATTTTCCCAACCTTGTACTCTGAGACAATGTCTATCTCTGAGGTTGAGGTATGTTTTTCGTATGTAGAAGAAGAATGGATTCTCTTCATATCCAATCTGTTAGTCTGTGTCTTTTTATAGGTGAGTTGATTCCATTTGTATTGAGGGATATTAATGATATTGCTATCTCCTGTTAATTTAGTTTTCATTGTTGGTGATGTTAGCTTGTGCATTTTTCCCTTCTTTGGGATTTGCTGCTATGAGACCATCAGTTGTCTGTGTTTTTGTGGATGTAGCCACCTTCCTTGGGTTGGAGTTTTCCTCTAGTATTCTGTGTAGGGCTGGGTTTGTGGCTAAGTATTGGTGAAATCTGGTTTTGTCATGGAATATCTTGTTTTGTCCTTCTATGGTGATTGAAAGTTTTACTGGGTATAATAATCTGGGCTGGCATCCATGGTCTCTGAATGTCTGCATAATGCTGACCATGACCTTCTGGCTTTCATTGTCTCCAATGAGAAGTCAGGTGTAATTCTGATAGGTCTGCCTTTATATGGTGCTTGGCCTTTTTCCTTTGCAGCTCTTAATATTTTTTTCTTTATTCTCTATGTTCAGTGGGGCTGTCTGTAATTCTAGTGATTAATCTTCTAGGTGCCAGTGAATCCAAGGCTTAGATGGTTGTTCCTCATGGTATAGTCAGTGCCATAGTTACCCCATTGTTTGCTCTGTGTTCCTGGAGGTCACTCAGTGCTCCTGGGATGTGCTCTGCTCCTGTGGAGTTTGCTGTCTCAGGCCTGCTCTAACCAAGGTTGTCAGCTCAGACCTGTTTCTGTAAATGTGATCTGCTCCCGTTTCCATGGAGCTTACTTTCTCAGACCACTCCAGCTTAGGTGGCTGGCTCAGTCCCGTCTCTGTGGAGCTGGCCACCTCATGCCTGCTCTGACCTAGGTTGCTGGTCTGCTTCTGCTTCCGAAAATGACCCTAGCCTGTTTCCACTCCTGCTCTCGTGGAGTTCACAGTTGCAGGCCTGCTCAGGCCCAGGTCACTGGCTCAGTCCTGCTCCTGTGGAGTCCGTTGCCTTAGGTCTGCTCTCCACTTTATTTTTTGAGACAGGATATTTCATTGATCTTGGAGCTCACTGACCTGCTATGCTAGCTGGCCAATGAGTGCCTTGGGGCTGCATGTCTGCAACACTTCCTCCACTCCCGCCAATCTCTGAGTCACAAATGTGTGTCTTGCTACACCTGTTCCTTTTTGTTTGTTTGTTTGTTTATTGTAATATGCATGGGTGAGTGTGTCAGATCATCGAGACAAGAACTGGAGTTACAGACAGTTGTGAGCTGCCATGTGGATGCTGGGAATTGAACCTGGGTCCTCTGGAAGTGCAGTCCGTGCTCTTAAGCAGTGAGCCATCAGCCCCCTATACCTGTCCTTTATAGGGACACTTGATAGTCACACTTAGGCCCTCATGTTTGCACAGCTGAGCCATTTCCTCAGACCCATTTCCTTAATGCCAGCTATGACTTCAAACTTTTTGAGAGGGAGAATTCTATTTTATTTGTTCTTACCATAAGCCTAGTGACAAAATCAGTAGTGATTATATATTAGGTGCTTAATAAGTACTCATTGGTTCTTTTGAAAACTTGTATTCAGTGTCCTGCTGATTCAAACAGGCTCCTTCACCTTAGGTATTTAATTTAACTGAAATAACATCTACAGAAGATGAACCCCTGCCTTTCTCTAGTAGAGAAATCTTGTGTGGAGCTGGAAAACAGGTCCAAGTGGATCGGTTTCCATTCTCACAGGAGTTTCTCTCCTTCCTCCACCTCTCCCTTCCCTCTTTTCCTTTCTCTGTTCTTTTTAATCTAAATCACAGATATAAAGGATTATATGCTTTCAGTTTTTACCAGATTCCAAGGATATCAGAAAGGCTGATAACATCACAGAGATTTTCATTTGCCATGACCCTCCATGGGTCTGACTGGGCCATGGCTATTAATCACTTGGGTGAAAATATAACTTAGAACTAACCTAGAAGAATCTTTGTTTCATGAGCATGCTTACCATTAGACGAACTCCCCTTACCTCCACTCCATGGTATATGTATTACTTAGCGCATCATTAGGTGACAATTTTCTAAAAATGAGACAAAAATACAAAACTCAGACAAAAGTAGAACAAAGACAACTTTAGAACACTTTATACCATACACTGGGCATTATCTATTTTGTTTTAGCTGCCAGGGTAACAGGAAATGGTACCAGCTTCAGAAAAACACCTCCTGTTGGTTCTCTTCTGAGGATCCTGTTTCATCCCTTTCCTGCTTCCCATTTTCACCCGGACACACTCATCACTGACCTCCTCTCTCCTTTTTCTCCAGAATCAGAACATCCTTAGGAATGAGGTCCCCTGGTCACTCCCTCTGGCCCTCATTCCTTGATGGTGATAAGCCAACCACAGTAGGTTGCTCAAACATCACCTCATACCAGACACAGCAATACTGTTACCTTTGAGTCCTGACTGAGGTGAGGTCTGTTGTCTTCCTCTTGGCCCCCATCGCCCACTGGCTACTCTCTTCCCTCAGTCATGTCTACCCTGCCTTCCCAATCCTTCTCAGAAATCCTCCTCTTCCCTCCTCACTGCCACAGCACCAGAGCTGCTGGCCTGATCATGTGGCAAGTTCCTTTTTCTCCACCCATCCACCTCAGGAGTTGTATGATGTTCAATATACTGCTCAGAAAATATTGACATTTTAGCTTCTTATGTCTCCTGACTTCTTTTCTGGCTGTATGTCTTTACTTTCAGTTTTCTATGATTTATATAAAATTCGGTCTTTAAAAAAATAGCAAATTATTGCACTATCTTTACCCTATCCATCTATAAATGTACATCTCTGCTTCCCTTAAAAACACTTCCAAGCCCAGATCTTCAACAGTGTTTTACAAAATAACACTCTAAACTACTGTCTCTAGCTGCATCACCACAGGGCTTAATATCTTACAGTATACCATGGGAATGTGTGTGTGTGCGTGTGTGTGTGTGTGTGTGTGCGCGTGTGCAGGGCATGCGTGTGTGTGTGTGTGTGTGTGTGTGTATGTATGTGTGTGTTTCTCTGGGGTGAAATTGGTTTATAGGTCTCAAGCTTTCCACTGCTTCTGTTACATCTGTCAAATAAACAGGTATAATAATATTCGCCAATACCACAGACCCTAGGTGAAACCGAGGGACAGAGTCTGAACCAGAACCCTTGTCCAAGCTATGTTCAGGGCACAATGATACTCACGTTCCTGACTTCTTATTTTCTATGAAACTGATCTGCAACAAAGGAAAAGGGAAGGCATTTCAGATGAGGAGAGGAAGTATCTCAGTTCTGGGGCTGACTCTAGGGCCAGGTTCCTTAGTCTGTAAGGTCACCAGCTTCATGGATCTTTGCAGTCTCCCTGAGTCTTCTACCAGTGAATATTGTAAGACGGGAACACTGCCAACCAAACAGCTGTGCAATGGTATCAAATGACTGTTTTGAATTGTATTTTCCCTATCGCTAGAGGAATATGGCGTCTTTTTACATTGGCTGCCAACTTTGGTGTTGCAAATCCCTTCAGATAGTGTCCATTTTACTGAATCAATTGTCTTTCTCTTACAACTTTGTAGTGTTTTTTTTTTTTTATAACAAATTAACCTGATTTAAAGTTAAGTTCTGATTTTTTTTTCTATGTAGAAGTGGAACTACGCCAAATACTAATTAATCAGTTGGGTGGACAATAAGAAAAACCCAAAATAATAGAAATGTTTAAAAGGACAAAGGTAAGAGTTGGGAGATAGTTCAGTGGTAGGGTTTTTCTAGAATTCCTGAAGCTAGGATTTGATTCCCAGTATAGGGAGGGAGAAATGGAGGGGGGACAGGAAGGAAGGAAGGAAGGAAGGAAGGAAGGAAGGAAGGAAGGAAGG